AGCAGACCTTGGCCGCCGTGAGGGCGGGTGGGAACGCGACGGAGACGCGTCTACTGGCGTGGCCACTATGGACGGCAAATGCTGTGTAACCTGTGCACTTATCACCCTTTTCTGCGGTTGCTTCTGATTATGGATTCAAGCCGGAATCCGAAGCGTAAGACAACTAAACTTCTTGCTACAGTGATCGCATCTTCCCCTCCGCAACTGCTTCCTAGATCTCACCTGTTCGTTTCTGCCAGCAAAGGGTTTTGTGTTAGTGCACAAGTTACTCTGATTTAGGCAGTCCGTCGAAACAAACTGACGAGCATACGCTTGCTTTTGATAAGCTGCCTTCAGGCCCGTACATTTTTTATTGCTATCGAAATAAGATGCGGGAAATCATGCTGTAGCTAGGCTAGAGAAAAGACAAAAATACAGTCGGTGCAATCTGGTACCGGGAGAGGTAATTATATGCCGGCGGTAGGTTTGGCGACCTTGCGCCTGTATTAAGGCCTTCTCTGTTTGTGCATCGAACCGGGTTGCGTTACTTGGTGGCAGTCGCGTCTGCTGTAACAAACAGACATGACGCAATCAGAACTTTTTTGTTGTAATGACGAGAACACTGGATTCACATCCAAGGGTTTCATTTAAACACCCAAACCTCAATTAACACCACAAGCGCTGTGAATAAGGTTTGTGAATGTCCTCCAAAGTATTAGTTACTATTAGTCGATTCAAATATGTGGGCACATAGCAAGAGACTTTTGTTTTAGATAAGGTGGGGAAACGGGGGCTGGGAAAAACCAACATTGCTGTCCCCCTAAAGGAGATCGGAAACCACAGGAAAAGGAAAGGACGGATGGTTTGATAGCTTTGAAACATGGCAAGCGCGGGGCGAGTATGAAATTCTTCTGCGCACACAGGACCGGGCTGTGTGACCTTAATGTCAGCATTAGCGGGCTCGACCGGACTAATCAAGCTTTCTTCTGTTGCGTAGCGCAAAATCTCTCAATCCATCAGTTTACCAGTCTTGACCCCAAGTATTTTAGCGTTGCAGAAATTGCTAACTAAAAATTAATAAAAATTATTTTGCCATCATTCGTATACTTTCGATCAATTCTCTTTAGTCCTGTACATCCATATTGCTACTGAAATAATTAAAAGATGCGAGCGAGTAGAAAAACCATGCTGTGAGCAGGTGGAGTAGATAAAATTACAGCCAATGACTTTTGAGCAACATGAATAGGGATGTTGGGCACCGAGATCGAAGTATCACCCCTTGGTTGCAATTGCAAACATGTCAAATCACTAAACAACACGCTGAAAAAATCTATCGTCCACCACAGCTGTAATGGACTGCAGCTATGATCTCGCAGGGAAGAGCGAATGAGTAGTATTTAAAATCCCGATGACGGTAGCAGCAGGAAGTATTACATTGCTTTTCTGTCCGTTCTCATATTCTGACGTCCATTCCTTCTCACTTTCCATTCCCTCCTACTGCTTATGATATTCTTTTGCCTTGCTTTTACAGGGCTTCTTCATTGGTCCGACCGCAGAGTCCATGATTGCTTCCGCATGCCTACTGACCCTACCTATGGAACAGAACTTTGCTAGCGTCTGTATGCGTGATCCCGGTTTCGTATCTAAGATGCTCTCTTCAAACAATGGCGAGAACTCAGGGGGCCTGCCTGGTGCCGAAGCTACCTCTGCTGGTCATCCGTCCAACCAGTCCCTCGGAGGACCCACTCTGTTGGATGTCAGCATTGATTTGGGTCCTCTCATTGTCTGTGCCTGTCCGAGTGAATTATTTTGGCTTCA